TTATTAGTTACCAGATCAATGAACGGTTACTTGTATACATTATTGTACAGTAAACTGCACACACATTGACCAGATTCTGAGTAACCACCCAAAATGTCACGATGCAAGCTGTTTACAGATACCGTTTCACAGAAAAGCAACTCACTGCAGCATTATGGATGATAAACGAGAAGCGAGATAGTCACTTGAAAGCAACGGCGACCGAGGGAGTTTTCTGAACATATGCTTAAACCATAAGCCCACAAAAGCTGAACATATCTGAAATGACTGTTGGATAGTGCAAACAACCACATAAGGCGGCATCTCATAAGCCACGCGGCACTCTGAGGAAAACTTCCCAAACCTTAAAATAAAGCGCATAACGCAAAAGCGGCAGAAAGGTGTGTACAAAGAAAGTATAAATTGTAAAAAGTGAATGTGGGACAATGTGGGAAACAATGAACGGGGATACAAAATCACAACTGGGTTTACGAGCAACATTATGCAGCCCCACTGGTTTTCACACAAGTGCTTGATGAAAGACATAGATTCGACTGGAACAAAACAGATGTCCTGATCCAAGCAGGAACGGAAATATGTAAAGAATTTTCTAGTAGCTGGGTGCTTATCCATGAGTATTCTATCTACCTGCACATTGACATGAATCTAGTAGAGCGCTAATATGCAGTGGGCTGAGGAAGATTCATATTCAGGATAACCAAATTCGCTGCCAAGACAATGAACTGGGCAGGCACTATGAGCCCAGACTACTGCGCTAGGCCTAGTCCGCCAATTCAAGCGCGTGATTCCCAGTCACATAGCAACGATAGTTGTGCAGCCGTTGTTAATCACCCGGGCATAACCGTAGAAAATAATGAAGAACTAATCAGAGCAAAGCCTAACTAATAGCCCTATATACCCATACAAGGAAATGAGTAGTGGCTGACGATAGTTGCCCAGGATTGTGCCTCCCATCAGCTCCTGCCACGAAACTACCATCACTCATCGACTGATAATATCCCCTCGATTGATGATGAAATCTTTACAATGTAGTTACTCAGTTTGGCAAACAACACAACCACTGGATAATGGTCAGGAGGATATACGTGAGGCAATTAGGTCAGGTGTTGGGAATCAAAAGCCGTAAATCGTCGCCAATGGCGTAAACATATTAATAGAGGAGTTGCCAAGGCGCACGAGATGGTACTGTTGCATGCGGAAGAGAAACGCCGTGTACGGAAGAGACGGTGCCGACGGAGGCTAGACAATCGACTTTGAGCGTGTGCGGTCGCGAGTGCCTCAGCTAAGCCGGCCTAGCTAGCCACCAATGTGGCCACTATGAGGCAAGATCTAAGAAGCGACGAGTCAGCTAAATAAGTAAGTTTCACCAGCGCAGCGCTTGGTAATTACGCTGCATACGATTCCAGTTACTAACTTAGACAGATGATGCTGTCGATTTGGCAAGTGTGCCATTTCATCCCAACAGCTGACCTGTGATTTTGTCAGTGTTTGCATTTTCTTATATTTCAAATGTTTGCTATTGCTTGATAATCGCATTGCGGCTGCACCTAAGGTGATGGTTGACAAGTTGCTTAGCTGCCAAACCATTACAATCTCGATCATACTGGTTCCAAGAAACGGTTGTTCGTTGCTGGGGAAGCTCAAACAGTGGTTCCAACCAGTATGAAACGGGCCACGGCCCAGCCACCGGTTGTGTACGTTTGTTACGCGTGTTATCAAAGTTAGATCAACAGGAGTGCTGCTGCTGTGCAAGCTGACGGGGTGTGGGACGGCTGCTTTGCTAAAACGTGGCTCCAAGCCACATGTTTCCCCGTCTTGTTCCCTCGGGTTTATACTGGATATGAGATAGGTGGATGGAGTTGAGTGGTGCAGCGCAAGCCACTCTTGGTCCCTCAGTAGACTCAGGCATTCTGTAGCTGTCTTATGGAGACCGCAATGACAGGCAAATCCAGAATCAGATGCTGCCAACAATTTGGGTTAGGTATGGTCGGCATGCTCCTAGAACGCAGCTAATGTAGGGGCGGAAATAAAAGTTTATAGGAAATCCATGTGTGACAAACACTTAGCGGTTCTGTCGGCACTGCATTTGCTTTTTCTAACCAATCCATACAATCTTCAAGACCTCGATGACTTTTACTAGCAATATTTTAAAACCCCTATGTCTTTCCACTCCACTGAAAGTCACGGTTTTCACGGTTAAACTGTAAAGAATCAACTGCAGCGAATCTACAAGAAGCAAAATAATTTTACTGAAAAGCATCGTGCTGGATGGAGGGTTGCTCTACGGTAGAAAACGTTGTGGAGTATGAGTATACCCATTTTAATAAGCTAAAATACCTTCTCATTTATGAGCAAAATGGATGAGATTAAAAGCAAAACGCACTGTCGCGAATACTGGAAACTTGGCATAATTATGCTTCAAGAGACGGGGCTCCATGGGGATGTTGACGATGAGGTTGTAGCCATCGGGAGGCTCATTTGCCATAGTGTCGATTGGTCAACTACATACAAGAGACACGGCAGTGTTGTCATCACTTATGTCAATCCTGTGTGGTGCACGTCAACAAAATGTTGGTTTCGCTTTTCTTCTCCACCTGGTAACCGCTTGATTTTGAAAGGTAAACCTAGATGTTTAAATGGTTACCAATCGATTTTCCTTGCAAATACCCACATTGCCTCCAGATGTCCCGCTTCGGAGGCCGTGGCATTTTACGATCAGTTTGTTTGTGTGCAATCAGGCACGGATTGGTAGTTTTGACCACTCAAATATCAAATTACCTATAAATAAATAAATTTGTATATTTACCGACAAACGGTACACGGCCCCATAAGCGGATGCGAAGATTTTTTTAGTGAATAGGTTTATGTTTTATGCGGCGTAAATCATAATATTACAGGAAACTAAAATAATATGATTTCGGATCTTGATTTATTTTCCTCTGGTCCTTGGCCCCAGCACCTAATATGTAAAATATACCGACGTTCATAACATCAATTTTAGTTTATGGTGCTCAGGAGTAGATAATAAAAGGGAGGAGATACTAAGCTACACAGACACAGGATTTGGTATTGTAGGTAATAACATGTAGTGGGTAAGCTAGTTGCAAGCAAATATCTGCTCATATGTTTTTTATACCGGCTTCTGTTAATGATTCTAGAGTTTGTTGTGAGTCAAAGCTCTTTAACACATTTGCTATAATGAGAAAGGTCTGCAGGGATTTTCGAAATATAACATGGCTTGCACACTTGCTGATCTGTAGTGGTAGTTTATTCCACAGATCAGTCTATGTCACTAAGAAGAAATTCGACCTAGTTTTATGACCAAGTTTTATGCGTAGCAAGTAGCTGCCATTAAAGTTAGGGTAGACTGCATGCAGTCCTCCGTAGTTCAACCGCTATGCTGTCTGCGTAAATTCGTTGGTTTATAGTGTTGTAGAAGAGAACTAGGTTGTTCTTTAAGCGTCTCAGCCAAAAAGGATCTATTTGGAGTTTGTGACAGCGATCATAATAACTCAGGTTTGAGCAGCGCCTCATGACTAGCTTGATAAATGATATTTGGATATTTTCCAGAGCCGTTCTGTCTTCTTTTCTCCACTGGCTGTGTACGATAGTACAGTATTCCAGAGTCCATCGTACTATTTTCTAGAATGACACAAGTCTGAAAGTTCACTCTTGTGGGTTCATAAAAGATTTTCTTGAATTAAATTGAATTGAGACCGTAAAGAGTACATGAATAAGTATTGGTGTTGAAGCAATCTGATCAAAATAGTATAAAGACCACTGTGCACATTACGTTGTTAGCATGTAACGCTGCTACAGAGCACTCGCCGCTTCTTTGCGGGTCTGTGTTAGCTCGTTTGCTGATAGAATATATGGAAAACCCCTTTGTAGCTTGCGGAAACTGTCCATACGTATGTACAGTAGGTTGTGATTTGTGATAAATCCCTTTGTTGAGGCCTACCAATAACTCACTTTTCCTTCAGTAGCGATGGCAAGTGGAAGTCAATATAATGATGAACAGACTTCCATTTTAGTGATAACCCAAATGACAGTGGTAGCAGTCGACTGAGCTGATTTCAGCTTTGAACAGCGGCAAGTAGGGTGATGATAATTGTGCAGTATAAGATATCAATAATTGCGCGAGTGTTCCCAATAAAAGTAGCAGCATTCCCCGTTGAATCATTGGTGAAAAAGGCAGTGGGCGTTTTATTACCACACTTTTCAGGACTTATGCGAAGCTAGTTTGGGAATACTGCTACTAGGAGAAACAAAATAATAAGCTTGGTTCTAGCAGGTTTGGCTTCATCAGCAGTAACAACATGGATGCTGGCGTATTACAAATGTAAAACCGGTAGAGAAAGCAGCCGTGTTGTCCAATGCCTCTGGCGGGGACCCACGAAAATCAGCACCTTTAAATGAGAGGCGCCAGGGTCCTATCGCTAATAAATTTAGTGAGCCAACAATGCGATCATTTCATTGTCATTTGATATTACACATTAGGAGATAGGCGGGTACGGATAAATAAACCAGTGAAAGCCGTGGAGGTGGGTAAGTCGAGCTCAATCTTCGGTCACTCAGAGAATCCAACAGCACTGTCATGCGACCGAATGAAAACTATCCAGTAGACCTGGATCGCTGCAATTCATCCAAAGGCTGTTTCAAAATGTTTATTTTACATGAAATGGATCGTAATGGATTTACCCACCTGTTGGCTTCCTGACTGAGTCTGTCGTGTCCTGTCAGTCATAGTACTGGCTGCTTTCCCATGATTGTCCTGATAAAACACAATTCATGCAAATCAAAGTAATGATAGAGACCTATCTTCTAATGTTTCAAAACGATAGCAGAATATTTCGGACCGTATACTGGTCGAACGCAAAAAACCGTATGCCACCAGCACCAACCCTTGTTTACATGCCACATGATGCCTCATAGGAAATTTTAACTGAATGAACTGTTCACATAAATCCCCCTACTTGTGGACAATCCACAAATTGTAGGCTTCGCGTACAATGGTCTGAATCTTTTGGACGATGCTCTGGATATCACACACTACCACCATGTCAGTACAGCCCGCTACGGTCAAGTTAATCGAGCCAGCAGCTTTAAACCGCGCTTCCCAAAAGCCAAAGTCGAGGAAAAGTGAGTTTTTGTGTTCTTGCAAAACATGAAACACAAGGGATATCAGCCGACAATATCTGAAATTAAGTCAACATCTATGTTATTTTCAATGCGTAAGCTATCACCACTCGGTGTGCGGCTCTTTTCCATAGTTATACCGTCGGTTGTAATGTTGTAGAATTATAGCAGGAGCTCCGGGTGCGCTACCCATATTGAAGACAAAAGCATCACCTCCAACACGACGACCACCCTGATCCCCATCAATAACACTGTCGATGTTATCATAACCAGTCACGACAATTTACTGCATGTATTATTTGAAAGATTATCGCCATTTTTGCTGCTGGGAATCTTCAGCGTTAGACTGAAATGTACCCAGGTTTATATGTGTAAGTACAATTTGGGACAGTCATTGCTGCTTGAGACAACGCGTATTCATGCCATGCACCTATCTGGTTTAGAAGAGGACTGGAGACTTCTCAGGCCATAATGCGACTTCCTGCTTATTGCTCACCTTGCTTCTCTCGTGACCAATGTGGAAATGTATAGTTTTCAAGTTGAAGGCGCCTCAAGACGATGGCTATGTTCTTGATGTCGATTTATGTATAAAAGGTTTGATGCCTTGACGATGTCTAAGCACTCAATACACTGATAACTTATAAAGTATATTTTAGTGGTAAATCTTCGGCTGGTACCCATCAAGAGTAAAGCATTTTTCCTTTCTTTCTAAAACACAGAAGTCAGACTCATTTGGCACTCATGAAGCAAACGGCGATATCTTCAAGTGAAAACATTTTCATGGGATCGCTTTCTTATCACCAAATGTCAATCAGAGGTGACTCACCATTCGCACCAAACACAACGGTCTTGGCTGTCGACCATTATGCGGGTCAAGGGCAGATCATCAAAAGCACGGACACACTGGATAACAGTTTATGGACGGGCAACATCAATATGCATCACGGTGGCGCAGCGAAAGTAGGACTGTTGACCAGCCTGACTGTAGTTGCAGCCATGCTTCTAACACTTTCAGTGGTATTCATTTATCGTTATAAGACAGCTGACTTAGTGGGCGCATGTGGTACATGTAAAAGTCAAAATATACCATCAACAGTTCAAAGTGATGAACTTGCAAATGCAACCGATTTCCGAACTCCCCTATCCATTATTGGGCCGCTGTTTACTATCGCTGCCGATGTACGCACACAGCACCCAACACTGACTTCTAGTGGATACAGCGGTCGACCTGAGGGGCAATCCCTGTATGGTCACGGCATTCAGATTTAACAGCGGGACCTCGACTTTTTCCAACTTAGCAAACCCTACGCGTCCAAATTTGTGTCCCCGTTGAGAGTTTTGCCTTACACCCAACTTCACCTTCTTCTGTTATATGAATCAAGATGAAATCCATTTATCATTCATGTTGCATCCACTCCCATATGATAGCAACATTTAACTTGGTTGTACCCTCTTGCTTGCCTCGATATTACTGGTTCGTTACTTGTTACAACGGTGACATTCTTGGACCGAGTGGTAGAGAGCAGAGTTCACAAAGTTAATGATATAATCACCTGTAACAATGCCATACCCATCTGCTTTTGTTCAAAAGTACTACACAATAGTTGGACTGTATTGCTTTTCAAAGCATTTATATTGAGACGAATTTTGACACACAGTTAATACCACAAATTTTGGCTTTGAAGAAACATAGTTAACCGGTTTTGATTCACTTGCTTTATTTCAAAAAGTTTCGAATTGAGAAAACCCGTTTGCGAAGAAACATCTATATGCCAGATAAACTGGAATAAAAATGACTATTTCCTCTGTCGATAACATTGTATGTTGCTAAATTCCAAGTGACTCAAGGTTAGGATGACTTTTTTCTTGGTTTTATCCGGACACGGACTACTAAACTCCACGGTTCATTGAATGTAAGCCGTTTACAAACCTCTTTGAATGGCTGCATACACACTAACTTCCGTTGTCCTAGCAGACGTACACACCTCTACCATGCTCTGCCGTCGTAATTTATGTATTAAGAACTAGTAACAAATCTGAAGAATGATCTATGGGTGCTACTTGGACTTATGTAAAACCGCCATCACCAGTGAAAAGGGTAGCGCGTTCTATATTTTTATTTTAAAATATGGGATTGAAACTGGACCGCCGACTAAACGAAAACGGTGCCAACGCCGAGTTTATCACTTGCCACAAGAAAGGATTTGGTTGCCATCTACTAAGTCATGCACCACTATAAAGATGCATGACCAACATGCGGCTCAGTTATTTTCAGTTCACTATTCCTTCTGTTGCGCATTTCGAAAAGAAAGCCCTTATTACTTACTTTGACTGCTACATTCAGTGCGTTCTGTTGCAATTACTTGTTTAACGCTAGATTGTTACATAAGCCTGAGTAAAGTTGGTCCCATGTGCTTTAACTCGAGGTGAATATATCCCGTCCTTACCATATCATTACGTGTTGAAATCGAGAAATACTGCAGCTATTGTGCCGCAATACAAAAAGATAAGCAATACAAGATAGCGTATTTCTAAGGTTTGCAACCTACAAGCAAAACTAAAAAATAAGTAAACTAATGCTTAGTGGCATATTACGCATCGAGTGTGTCGAGAAAGAAAACTCTAAGCCAACAATCGAGGCACCCAGCGTCATTACGGAACGAAGGCAAGACAGGTGAGCCAATCTCGCGTGCATTGCGGCTAACAGATAGTCAACCGAGTGGTGACCAATAAACACGTGGGTGGCATTACTTGTTTGCTGTGGTTTGACCCTTCTGGAGTTTTCCACTTGGGTTGTAAATACGGTTCACGAACGCTCCATTTTACCTTTATGATGGACGGTGTGAGTGGCTGATACATTCCTGTTCCTTTGCATGTCCGATCCGATATTCTTTCTCTCTCTCCTGTGGGGGTCAACGACCATGAGTTCCGATTGATACGCAATCGTCAATTCAGGCAAGGGACGACCACTTCAGATGGCGACTGATTGAAGCCTAACCACATTGTCTATATCAGCTGACGAGCACAAGGCCATTCTGTTGCAGAAACCAGCACAATTTGAGGTAACTCAACTCAGGCAGACCGAAACTCTTAGGCGCCAACTCTTAATCCAGACCGGCACGCAGTCTACAATCCTCACGTCGTCCTCATCGGTAGACCCCATTACTAACTGCATTACCGAAGCTTCGTACGACCCCGATACGGGCCTCTACATTTGAATCCTGGTTCAAGCGTTATGAAGATGTGTTCCGCGTTGAACTTGGAGACCATGATAACAATTGAAAAGTCCGATTACAGTTAAGGAAAGTTGGAACAGCAGAGCACTCCAAGTATGTCAATTTGATTTTGCCCAACAACAATCGAGACTATACCTTTGTTGAGACTGCCAAATGCTTGGGCCAAATATTTGGAGAGCAGTCATCCATCTTCAACAAGTGATATCAATACCTCAAGATCACCAACATGGACGCTGACAACTAGGTCACATAAGCTGGCGTTGTCAATCACGAGTGCGAACAATTTGACATCAAAACCATCAAGGTAGATCAGTTTGAATGACTGCATTTTGACGTGCACCGTCTTCCTCACTGGATGTAGAGATTTGTAACACCCTGCTGAGTAAACTTGAACAAGACCCGCAAATGACTCTAAAGACCATCACTACTGAATGCCAAATATTGCTGAACCTCAAGCATAATATGCTCATTCTGCAGAGGCAACAATCAACCCTAAATCTTAGTGCATTGGAAACCACTAAAAAACCTGATTTCAAGTGAAATCGGCTAAGAAAAGAACAGAGAGATACCAAAGCCCCCGACTGCCTGTTGGAGGTGCGGCGAGTGGCATTTATTAGAGTTTATCCATTCTTAAAACATGTTTTCCAGAACCGTCATAAACGAGGCCATAAGGAAACGCACTGCCGATCCAGAGTGCTGTTCAAGCGTACTAGATATCCGTGACCGAATTCGGATGTTCCCGAAAGATTCAGCAGCTATACTACGGTTCAAGCGGCCTACTCTGATGAACATGTGGCTCGCAGAAATACACCAGAGTTCACCTGAATGTGCAACAAGTGCGTCTTCAGCTTGCTACGGCCCAAGGCATCACAGTTATCTCCCACAAAACCTGGCAGTATATTGGTGAATCGTCAATCAGCCGAACAACAAACGTTGCATTTAATGCTTCAAGTGGTCAACTCAATCCCATTGGTGAGCTGTAGTGTGAAATGGTTTTTGGCGCTGCCCGGTCAAACGGCGTCGTGTTCATTACGGAGCTGTCAAGTTTGAGTCTGCTGTAGCTCCACCTGTTTGACATTCCCCTGAGTCAAGTCTGCACTAATCTCCATCTCGGGCGTACGAGGTCCTGCTCGAAAGGGGATGAATTAAACAATAAGCTGATCGAGCAGTTAGGAAGATAATTCCCGTCTGCGCTTCGCGACGACTTGGGAAGATGCACAAAGACCAATGCAAGTCATCCTCTCAAAGACGGTTCCAAACCGATAATCCGACCCTATATACCGGTAGCACGCGCTGCGCTTCCGATTGTTGATGCAGAATTGGGTCTCTTAAACTGAACCAGCGTCATCCAACCTGTGGACTATTCAGCATGGGAAGCACCGATTGTTGTGATCAAGAAGACCAACGGAACCGTTCGTATCTCTGCTGACCACTCTAAGGGAGTGAATATTAATTTGAAAATACGCCTGCATCCGTTACCAGTCCCAGTAGTTTTATTTGCTAAGCTCAGGGGTGGCGCTTACTTTGCAAAGCTAGATTTATCAGATGCTTATCTTCAACATGAAGTCGACGATGCTTCAAAGGAGTTACTAACAGTCAACACGCACCGAGATCTTTTCCATCTCAGCCATTTGCCATTTGTTGTCAAATCAGCTCCCGCGACTTTTCAACAAATTATTGATGCGATTTTAACTAGGTTATCAGGGGTCGCAACTTAATTTGGACGACGTTAGAAGTAAGGGGTAATGAATCCAGTATTGACGGAAAGACTGGAACTAGTTCTCAAACGCAATAACGACTACGGGTTTTACTTGAAAGCTTGGAAATGCAATACCGGTATGAAGTATGTAAAGTATCATGGCTACGTCATTGACAAGGATGGCCGTCGTCCGGATCTTTCCAACATTAGGGCCATCAAACAGATGTCAAACCCTGATAATGTCACCCAGCTCAGAAAATTCTTGGGGTTAGTCAGTCATTACAGCTCTGTTGTGCCCGAGATGCATCGGCTACGAGGACCGTGGAATGAACTTCTGGTATCAGAACACAAATTTGTATAGTCATCTGAATGTCGAGCCGCATTTTGTGACGTCAAATCTATATTGTGTTCTGTCCTATTTCTTACGCCTTTCAATAAGGAGGTGGAAACCTTGCTTGCTGCTTACACGTTAGACTACGGAATTGGGGCCGTCATATCCCACATTTTCCCGAACAGTTCGGATAAAGCTGTGGCATATACAGTCAGATCACTCAGTCCCGCGCAACTCTACTATGGGTAGATCGAGAAAGAAGCTTTGGCTACAGCGTTTGTAGTCAAGTGATTTCACAATATGCTGGCGTCACAGGTGCACTGAAGGTCAGACCATAACCCACTCAGTTGGATTAACAACACATAAACGCACACACATGCACACACACCAGGCTTATGGTGTTCCGCTGAATGCATGCTGAAATGTCTCTCAGTTGTCAATTACACAGTGTCCTGTCCAGACTCGTTCTCAATACCGTATGTTCTAGGCCCTATAGAGCATACGCTCTCGTACATTTAATTACTGTGACTAATACGTATCAGGTATATGGACGAAAATTATCGCTGTTCACGGACCACAAGCCTCTGGTTGCAATCCTTGGATCAAAGAAACTGTTACATCATCGTAAATTTAGCACGAGGTGCAAAATTGTGTGCGCGCTTGCAGAAATATCGTTTCTTTCGAGGTGTGTTCTCCTGAGTAGGTACTTTCTCTCAGTCCTCATGTTGTTGCGTAGAGATATGCTCAAGCTAACCTCAGACGCACATCATCCGCTCAACTGGTGATGACCGAGTCCAAACTTGCGAGGTAACTGGAAGCTCATGCACGCTTAGTACCAGTGATAGAGGATCTATCGTTTTGTTTTCGAATTGTGCTTGCTAACTTTTGTGAATCCATACTCGACCGTACAAGGAGAAACCGGAATACTCGGTTGGAGAATTTACTAACGAACAGCCAACAAGAGCAGGCAATCATTCCTGGCATCAGTAACATGGTGAATTTT